ATGTTACTGAGTGCGGTTGTTCTGGTGTGCTGAAGGCAAAAGGGTGTGAATGATATATATATTGTTGGATAAGTCTTTAGATTGTTCCTGGTATTTAGTCATTTCCTTGTACGTGTCTTTGTGTTTCCTAGTTATTAGGAAGTAGTTTAAACTGTTCAGCATAGTGGTTGCTATTTTATAGCTTTGTTGATTGGCACCTTGACTATTTATGGGCCATTTAATTGTTAACTGGTATGATAATTATCTGAAATATATTTTCTTCCTATTCCATTATTTTACAGAGCATCTTGTGATCTTTACTTCTCAAATTGCTTAATTTCCCTTCATCATTTATTGTGCTCACCAACTATTTGTTAATATTCCTGAGAGAGTATTCCATTATTTGGCCCCTTTTATTCAACATCTGGTATCAGAGCTTGGTTTGTCCAGAGATCGAAGGCAGCAACAGCAGCAGCAAAGATGGCCTCCGAAACTTTTGTGCAGCCAGCAATTCCTCGCTTTGATGGTCATTATGATCATTGGAGCATGCTGATGGAGAATTTCTTGAGGTCCAAAGAGTATTGGAATGTGGTTGAATCTGGGGTAGCAGAACCAACCGCTGGGATGTCAGAAGCTCAGAAGGCAGAGTTGGAGGCTTTAAAATTGAAGGATCTCAAAGCCAAAAATTATCTCTTTCAGGCAATTGATCGGACAATCTTGGAGACTATTCTTTGCAAAGATACCTCCAAGCAAATTTGGGATTCAATGAAGAAAAAGTACCAGGGAACCACAAAGACAAAGAGGCAGCAGCTTCAAGCACTTCGTTCGGAGTTTGAAATACTTCGAATGAAAGAGGGTGAGACTGTTACTGACTATTTTTCTAGGACAATGGCAATTGTCAACAAATTGAGGACCCATGGTGATAAGACACAAGATGTTACTGTTGTTGAGAAGATACTTCGTTCAATGACACCAAAATATAATTTTGTTGTCTGTGCTATTGAGGAGGCAAATGATCTTGATGAAATGTCACTTGATGAACTTGAAAGTTCCTTGTTGGTACATGAAAGGAAGCTAAATCGCCAAGATAAGGAGGAATTAGCATTGAAGGTATCAACTGATCACTATTCTTCAACACATAAAGCCAACAGAGGTAGAGGCAGAGGAAATATGGATCGGAGGAGCCATCAAACTCAATCTTATGATTCCCAAGGGAGAGGAAGGGGACGTGGCAAATTTCATTCAGCAACTTACAAGCCAAAGTCTGCAGACAAGTCTACCGTTGAGTGCTATCGATGCCACAGGTATGGACATTACAGATCTGAATGTCGAGCTAATCTGCCTAAGATGGATGGAGAAAAGTCTCATTTTGCAGAAACAGAGGAAGAAATATCTTTGTTGATGGTCTGTCATGCAAGGGAAGAAACTAACAAGAATTTGTGGTATCTCGACACTGGTTGCAGCAACCATATGTGTGGAGATAAGTCTGTTTTCTCCACTTTAGATGAATCATTCCGAGATACCGTGAAATTTGGAGATAACTCAAAAATCTCAGTCATGGGAAAAGGGCAGGTAAACATTCGAACTAGAGATTGTGCTACTCAAACTATTTCGAATGTTCTTTATGTGCCAGAACTGAAGACAAATTTGCTGAGTATTGGTCAATTACAAGAGAGAGGCTATGAAATTGTCATAAAAAATGGAGTATGCCGAATTCATGACAATAATCTGGGCTTAATTGCTCAAGCTACAATGACCCCAAACAGGATGTTTCCTCTCCATCTCAAAGCTCCTGGTCAGACATGCTTCTCAGCAAGATTAAACGATGTGGCTTGGCTATGGCATTTTCGCTATGGTCACTTGAATTTTGGAGGCTTAAAGACACTTCAGCAGAGAGCCATGGTTACTGGGCTTCCAGAGTTTAATAGTCCTTCTGATGTTTGTGAAGAATGTGTGGTTAGCAAACAGCATCGAAATCCTTTCCCAAGAGGAAAATCATTGAGAGCCAGGAAGCCACTCGAAGTTGTGCACTCTGACATTTGTGGGCCAATAAATCCTGCATCAAATGGAGGGAAGAGGTATTTCATAACCTTTATTGATGATTTCAGTCGAAAAATTTGGGTCTATTTTTTGCAGCATAAATCTGAAGCTTTTGTAGCTTTTAAAAGCTATAAAGTGCTTGTTGAGAAAGAAGCTGGCAGTCCAATCAAAGTTCTTCGCACTGATCGTGGAGGAGAATATTGCTCAGATGAATTTGCAAAATTTTGTGACAATAAGGGGATTAAGAGGCAAATCACAGCAGCTTATACACCTCAACAAAATGGTGTTTGTGAGAGGAAGAATCGCACTATTTTGGACATGGTGCGGAGTCTTTTGGCAAGGAGTTGCATTCCAAAAAATTTCTGGCCAGAGGCAGTCAACTGGAGCATCCATATTTTGAATAGAAGTCCCACACTTGCTGTTAAGGACATGACACCAGAGGAAGCTTGGAGTGGACGCAAACCAACAGTGGATCATCTTAGAATTTTTGGGTGTGTTGCTTATGCCCATGTTCCAGATCAGAAGAGGAAAAAGCTGGACAACAAGGGAGAAAAGTGCATCTTTCTTGGTGTTGGTAATCAATCAAAAGCCTACAAGCTTTATAATCCAAGCACCAAGAAAATTGTAATCAGCAGGGATGTTGTTTTTGATGAAGAACAGATTTGGCCAGGGAGTGAAAATGGTACCACTAAGTGTATTTCTGCAGATTTTGATGGTGGTGATGATGAAGAAAAGCAACAGTCAATTGAGAATGTGCAGCAGCAACTTGATATGGATGAGCAACAACCAGCATCCACTTCAAATGCTCAAGAAGATGCTCAATCTCCAGCAGCAGCCAAAGAGGACGAACAGAGGTCACAAAGGGTTAGAAAGAGACCAGCATGGATGTCTGATTATGAGGTAACTGGAATAGACCATTCTGAGGACACACTTACTCATTTTGCTCTATTTTCCGACTGTGATCCTACAGTTTTTGAAGAGGCTGCCACAGAGTCCAAATGGCAGAAGGCAATGGATGAGGAAATTGCAGCCATTGAAAGAAATAATACTTGGGAGTTAACTGAACTTCCAAAAGGGAAGAAGGCTATTGGAGTAAAATGGGTCTACAAGACAAAGTTGAAGGAGAATGGTGAGATTGACAAATTCAAAGCCCACCTAGTTGCCAAAGGTTACAAGCAAGAATTTGGTATCGATTATAAAGAAGTTTATGCACCGGTTGCAAGGCATGATACAATTCGCTTGGTAATTGCTTTGGCAGCACAGAATTCATGGCCACTCTATCAACTGGACGTTAAATCAGCCTTCTTGCATGGAGACTTGGATGAGGAGGTATTTATTCATCAACCCCCTGGTTATGTTAAGGCTGGAAATGAGCATAAAGTGTATAAATTAAAAAGGGCATTATATGGACTAAAACAAGCCCCACGGGCTTGGTATAGTCGTATTGAATCTTATTTTCTAAAGGAAGGTTTTGAAAAATGTCCTTATGAACATACACTTTTCATAAAATCAGAAGATGGGAAGATGCTTATTGTCTGCTTGTATGTAGATGACTTAATCTACACTGGAAATGATATGGTTATGTTTGATAAATTCAAGAAGTCTATGATGGCTGAATTTGAGATGTCAGATCTAGGATTGATGCATTATTATCTTGGCATAGAGGTGAATCAATCTGCTGCAGGTATTTTTATTTCTCAGAAGAAGTATGTTCAGGACATCTTAGACAGGTTTCGAATGAAGAATTGTAATCCTGTGAGCACACCAATTGAACCAGGTTTGAAGCTTGTCAAGAATCCTGGGGGAAAGGAAATTAACAACACTTTGTACAAACAAATTATGGGAAGCTTGATGTATTTGACTGCAACAAGGCCAGATATCATGCATGCTGTAAGTCTTATCAGTAGATACATGGATTGTCCAAAAGAAGTTCATCTCTTGGCAGCAAAAAGAATTCTCAGGTACTTACAAGGTACAACTGAGTATGGTTTATTCTATAAAAATGGAGAAAAGTCAGAGTTGTTCGGGTTCACAGATAGTGATTTTGCAAGAGATCTTGATGATAGAAAGAGTACATCTGGTTATGTTTTCATCATGGGAACAGCAGCAATTTCATGGACATCTAGGAAGCAATCAATTGTGACTCTTTCAACTACTGAAGCTGAATTTGTTGCAGCAACAACATGTGCTTGTCAAGCAATTTGGTTGAGGAAAGTTCTTGAAGAATTGCAAGTCAAACAAGAAGGTCCTATGCTTATTTTTTGTGATAACAGTTCAACAATCAAACTTTCAAAGAATCCTGTTTTGCACGGAAGGTGTAAGCATATGGATGTGAAATTTCATTTTTTGAGGGATCTCACAAATGAAGGAGTCATTGATTTGGTCTACTGCAGGAGTGAAGATCAAATAGCAGACATTTTTACAAAGCCTCTCAAGTTATCAGCTTTTAGGAGACAAAGGGAGCTGCTAGGTGTTTGTATTTTTGACAACAATTAAACTGATCATTTGTTACTGTTCAGTTTAGGGGAGAGTTTGTTGGATAAGTCTTTAGATTGTTCCTGGTATTTAGTCATTTCCTTGTACGTGTCTTTGTGTTTCCTAGTTATTAGGAAGTAGTTTAAACTGTT